ACTGCGTCTCCCAGTTCGAGGCCCAGGTCGTACTGCTCGACATCAAGTCTATCCTAACAGCCGGATTCAACTGCGTGCTCCACGTCCACGCCGCACAAGAAGAGGTTACCATCACCGCGCTGTTGCACAAGCTGGAGAAGGGCACTGGACGGAAATCGAAGAAGGCACCAGGTTTCGCTACCAAGGGCATGAGCATCATCGCGCGCTTGCAGATCACTGGTACAGCCGGAAACATCTGTGTTGAGCGATTCGAGGACTACCCACAGCTGGGACGTTTCACTCTTCGTGACCAGGGTCAGACAATCGCTATTGGCAAGATCACGAAGCTCATCACCGACGAGGCTTAAATGGTTGATTAATCCACGCATGATGATCCCACTAGGAGGAAGAGGAGGAGTCGGATATCCGTATTGACGAAAAGCTGTCGCCATTGAGGCAACATAGCCTGAGGTTCCACGGCGTTTGGACGCAAGGGTAGCATAGACCGAGCATCCGAACAATGTGATCACGAATATTATTCCATTTCTAGTGATCGAAGTTTCTGTCGTGGTGATTTGCATGTATGGATTCTAGGGCTCGGAGATAGGCGTCGCGGGACGACTGTGAGACAAGCCTTTTAGTGCCGCAATCAACAGCAACCTTAATTGACCTTCCGAGTCAGGAAGTTAGATGCATGTGCATAGAGGGCTAGCAAGCCGCACATGCAGAAGTCAATGACGTCACGCCGCGTCTATCAGTGAAAGAGCCTCGTCGCGTGACAATCGCGACACAGTCCTAGATGGCAAGGCTATGCTTACGTCATCCACTCCCGCGGCCAAAGTTCGCGACACCATCCATGGATCACTCACGCAACAAAGTCTCCACCACCACGAACCTGCGCACACCGCGCAAACCTCCCTCCCCCACCCCTCACGATGCAGGGCTTCAACATGGGGCGGTACTACCCGCCCGATGCGTCGAACCCACCCAGCTTCAACAACTCCTCACACCCTCTCGGCAAACGCGCCAACAAGATCACCCAAGGCATCCTAACCGTCCGCTTCGAACTCCCCTTCGCCGTATGGTGCAACCACTGCACCCCACCCGCCATAATCGGCCAGGGCGTCCGATTCAACGCTGAAAAGAAGAAAGTAGGAAACTACCACACCACCCCAATATGGAGTTTCCGCATGAAGCACAGCGCGTGTGGCGGGTGGTGGGAGATACGAACCGATCCACAAAACAGCGAATACGTAGTCGTTGAGGGGGCGCGACGCCGCGACTATGGACCTACCGTCAAAGACGATACAGCGGATGGCGAGCTGAAGTTTCTGACAGAGGAGGAGAGGCAGAAGAGGAGGGACGATGCTTTTGCGAATCTAGAAGGGAAAATGGAGGATAAAGGGGTTGAGAAGAAGAATAGGGAGAGGGTGGAGGAGTTGTATGATAAAGCGGAGGTTTGGCGGGATCCGTATGATGTCAATGCGAAGTTGAGGGAAGTGTTCCGGGGGAAGAGGAAGGTGTGGAAGAGGGAGGATAGGCACAAGGAGGGGATGCAGGAGAAGTTTAGTTTGGGGCTGGATATTGTGGATGAGACGGAGGCGGATAGGACGAGGGCTGGGCTTGTGGAGTTTGGGGCTAAGGATGTGGGTGTGGGTGGGGAGGGGGAGGGGTTGGCGTGGAGGCCGCTGTTTGGGGAGGCGGAGGTGGGGGATGTGAAGGCTGTGGAGTCGGCGAGGAAGACGAAGAAGCTTAAGGCGGAAGTTGCGAAAGAGAAGTCGAGGCTGGGGTTGCAGCAGACACTGGTGGGTAATTCGAGGGCGGTGGTCGATCCGTTCCTGAACAAGGAGGCTTCAGCGACACCGAGGGTCAACCTCGGCATATTGAAGAGGAAGAGAGTGGCTGAGACGAAAGACACAGTTGCGATCCCGACAGCATCAGAACAAGAGACGGAGAAAACAGAAAGCGTTGTGCCGACGAAGAAGCAGGCCTTGCTTGGGGCCTTGGTGGGTTACGACTCGGATTGATCGCTCGCCTACGCATTGATTCACGGCCGCCTCTCGACACTACTCTTGCATTTACTGGCGTTTGGGTGAAGGAGCATATGATACCTCATTTCCTTTTCATTAATTATCAGCAATCTACGCATACCGGTCTTCTGTTGCAGGTCGGCTTTCACACCTACTGCGGTCAGGAAGCTTCACACAATGACATCAGCTTACGTTCACCATTGCAGTCGCCTGCTCTCTGTTCATCTAACACGATGTTCAAGATCCCTCCATCGCCTTTACTGCTGGTACAACCTGGAAAGTTACACTCGCCAATCTTCCACATCGTCAGCATCTGGCCAATACCAAATCCTTAGCAGTCATGAGTTCAACACCAACTCACGATGATAACACACTACAGGTAACCACTGGGCACTCACCTAGGGGTATCGGGGATCTACCACCAGAGCTGCTTCTGAAAATCGCCGACTTCGCTGCAGTCACCGATGCGAACTCCAAGAAAGTTCTCTGCAAGCTCTGTCTAGTCAAGCCTCTCAACCCAACCGCGACGGAAGCGCTTTACGCCAACATTCATGCCGGTGCCGACTTCAACCCCGTCCTTCTCATACGAACCCTCCTCAGTCATCCCTCTCTCGCCGCCCTGGTGCGCTCGCTCAAGCTAAATGCAGTCTGGAACGGGTATCGGAACCAGAAATACCGGATAGCGATACTAAACAGCGATGACCCTAACACCCCTCCAGTAACCCTCGAAGACTTGCAGGGTTTGACTACAGATCCCGTTGTAAAACGGTTGCTCCAAGCTCCAGATCTTCACTTCGGGGCTGCAGCGTGTGCATTGCTATATCTCCACACACCAAATATACATACTTTAAAGTACGCCGTAGAAGGCCACTACCGAAAACTCAAGCTCCCAGAGCTCTCCATAATGGTATCAACGCGACCATGGGAAATCCCCTTTCTCCCCGGACCGCTCTTACAGACACCACCAAACTACAACCTCCTCAAAAATGTCACCATACGAACCCCCCACATAGACATCGACCGCATCGCAAAGCTCCTCCAACTACCCAACCTACACCAACTAGAAGTCTGGAACCTGCGCGAACTCCAACCTCGTCATGCCTGGCACTGGGACGCTAACCTCTTCCCCGAACACACATCCACGGTCCGCCATCTCACTCTGCGCGGCGGCTACCTCCACACCGATGTTTTGAGTCTGGTCATACGGTGCTGCAAGTCGCTGTCCCACTTTGCTTACCACATGGCGCGGAATCATAATCACCGGTTTCAGCTGTGGACTAAGTTCGACAGGTTGACGACTATTCAGTTTGGTGTTGTTGTGGATGCGCTGGGGAAACATCGGGAGACGCTAAGGCATCTGGCGCTGTATAACACCGGGGCGACGGATAGGCGTGTGGCTCCGAACTGGATCCCCGCGTCACTCGCTGACTTGTACAAGCTTGAGAGTCTGTGTATAGACGCCAGCGTCGTCTTTCCCCGCTACGCATGGGGGAGGCTGCAAGATTTACTTCCTGCCTCGCTCAAGCGACTGCATCTGCTGCATACATGGTATGACCTGATGACAGACTGTGTGTTTGTCAGTGGAGCGTTGTATAAGATGTATGATCGGTACCTTTTTCCGAGCTTGAGCTTTGTTGAGATGGAGGTGAGTAGGGAGTTTTGGCGTTGGGCGGAAGAAACGGAAAAGGAAGATGAGGGGTTTGTTTATAGGGCGAGCGCTGTTAAGGCGTTGAGGGAGAAGGGGGTTAGGGCTGTGTATAGGACTCGGGAGGATGGGGAGAATGCGTGGGATGTTGTTCGGGGGTGGGACGGGGAGTGATGGGTGTGAGCAGGCGGAGTGGTTTGATGGGAGAAGATGTTTTGGCGCATTTCGAAGTTGTACATTGCGTTTTGATACAAAATGCGGTACTATAAACGCCGCGGAATAGCGTCATGCTTCGTCGAGGGCTGAACTGCACTTCTTTTACACCTATGCTTAGTGTCGGTGAAAGTGAAGGCACTAACTGCTCCTTCCTCTTTCGTCTCTCGGGTGCACCTCGGAACCTTCTGCCTGATTCCGTATCACCAGTACGTCATAACCGCCCGAGCGCAGCAGGCACGAGCTTCGCCAACCGCCAGTACATAATCTGCTCGTCCCCCACCACCCTTCTTCCCCTCTCATTCCTGCCGTTTACAGTTACGAAATGGCGCACTCTTTCACACACCCCTCTTCACCCTGCTTGTAATGGAGCTTTCCAAATAACAGGGGGCTCTCCGCCTACAAGTGCGAATTAACGTTTGCGACCTTTGGGGAGGATCGGAGGCTTATTACTTGTTTTTGCACTCTATCAAAGGGCGGCTGCGGCTGCCCGCCACTGTCTTCCTCCGAGGACGGTGGCTGAACTTTTTTTTTGTGAGTTCGACTCTTCTCATTTGTTGTTCTTGCGAGATGCTAACAGCTTTATATTACGATCTTGTCGGCTTCCGCTCTTATCACTAGTGGCGATTGGATGATAGGTGAGAGTGACGGACAAGGTAAGTGCTGACTGGATGAGCGGTGCTAGATTGCTACATATCCTCCTCATACTCTTTTTGTGATCGATACATGCCACCCAGGAAGTAGTCGCAGTGATTCTGTCCAGTGCAGATTATCATATCGTGCTAATGTCTCTGCCTGGCATCCGTTTGGAGTTACCACGCACGCCTTTTATGGTCTATGTAGAAGTCTGCTTGTGCATATTCATCATGTCAATCTGGCTACTCGCTGCTTATTCTGGAAGTGACTGCTGAGTTAGTGGGGCATATCCTGAGATGGCTACTGCAGCCATGAACGAAATCGACGACCCGCCGGTTATGGCAGACCTTGATTGAGCGCTCAAGGTGCCTGATCTCGAGAACGTAGCCGAAGGGTTTTTCACCCTTGGATTTGATGACAGGCGGAAGTTGGAGATGGTCGCCACCCAAGACACCTAGGCCCACGTCCAAGAACCATTCCGTGGTCAGTATCAGCATCTAAGACGCCTCAGTCGCTTGCGAGGCTTCATAGAAGAGGACCATATCGAACTTATCTACATTTGACAGCCCTAGAATACGCTGAATGACCTCGCGCTGAGAGGCTGTGGAGGTGGCAGCGACTAGTTTAGGCTTGCCGATGCATGCCTTCATGAGCTCCCAGATGGCTGAGCTAGGAGACACTGTAGCGCCAAAGATCTTGACCTGGCCGGTTTGGAATTTGCGTTTCTGCTCGGCTCTCGCGTCGGGGTTCTTGGTGTAGGGAAGGCATGACTCCTCAGTCGGGTTAGAGCGAGCGTACTTGGCCATCTTGTACGCGGAGCAGTCGGGGATGTTGGACGCGGTAATGGAGCTCATCAGTCCACCAAAGGCGCCGTCATCGTCGCCGGCATCGCCCCAGTGACGCTTGAGTTCCTCGAAGAGCACCTCGTCGACAATGCGAGCTGCCACGCGACACAAAATGCGTTCCTCGATCCATCGCGAGCGGTTCTTTCGTGTGCATTTGGCGAACTTCTCGGAAATCGCGTCAAAACCATGGTTAGATTGGGTGTTGATGAAGGCGTGGTAGCGGTAAGCCATCGCGATAGCATGCCGTGCTAGAAGACTACGTCCATCTTTGTGTGTGTTGAGGTAGATGGGAAAGGTGGGATAGGTAGCCGCAAATGCGCCTCTGCCTATCGAAATCTATGTTGTGTGGATGCGAAGTGAGTACATTGGTGCCAAACTAGAAGGTTCAATCAGTAAGTTCGCTGTGAGTATCTTCTAGATGCTTTGTGTTTATAACGAAAAGAACGAATACGATGCTACATATCATCCCAGCAGAAAGGACTGTACCATCACTTTCGATCAAGCAAAAGGATACATAGGAAAACAAAGGAAACATGTACCAGTCCAATGCCACCGTCCCGCACAACACACCTTTACAGCGCCACATCACCAAGCAACCCCCAACACCACAACCTACTCCCCACCCAACCCCAGCTTCCCCACAACCCCATCCACCAACCCCCCAATACTCGCACTCTGCAAAATCTCAAACACACTAACCGTTGCCTTCGTCTCCCTCTGAATCCAGTTCTTGATCTCAACAGCTACCAACGAGTCCGTCCCATAGCTGTTCATCGAACGCGTAGCATCAAGGTCCGATACATCCATCATCAGACTGCGCGACAACTTCTTGAGCAGCGCTGCGAGGATAAACTCCTTCGCTGCCTCCGCAGACGGACTGGAAGAGAGCTGCGCGGAAAGCGATAGCGATGTAGTCGTCGTACCATCGTCTGACGTTCGAGCAGGCGCATCGATCTTGAGATGCGGGCGCAGGTACGGCAAGTGACTCAACACGGGATCTCGCGCGAAGAATGGCGCTTCTCCATCATCCAGGCTGCTAATGTCGAGGTCGGAGTCGAGACCCGTGACGACGTGCCCCATCATTGGTTCACGAATGCCCAGCTCGATGAGCGCCAACATCTCCTTCTCGTGAATATGTTTGAACTCCTGGACTTGCACTTTACGACCTTGAACTTTCTTTTCGACGACATAGCCCACGTCGCCGACGATACCCAGATCGATGGCTGTGGCTGGCAGACTGAGCGCGTTGCGGTATTTGGCTAGTGCGACTTGATACGCGCAGCCTGCGGCGTAGTTGGATTGACCGGGGTTGCCGATGAAGGAGTGGAGAGAGGAGAGGAGGACGAAGAAGTCGAGTGGTTGGGATAAGGTTGTCTCGTGGAGGTTTTTCGAGCCGTGGACCTTGGGGAGGATAGTCGAAGTCCATTGGTGCGAGGTCATTGTGCTGAAGAGGGAGTCGTTGAGGGTCATTGCGCCTTGTATTACACCCTTGATCGGTGGGAAGGAGCGCAGGGTTTCGGAAAGAAGGTTGGAAAGTTCGAGTGCGTCGGATACGTCGCACTTCAGAATGGCAGTGCGGACGCCCGAGGTGTGCAGGGATTCAAGGAATGCTTGCGCTTCTTCTGATACTGCGCCGAAGCGGGAAATGAATATGAGGTGTTTTGCGCCGTGGGTGACGAGCCATTGCGAGATGCTTCGTCCGAGACCGCCAAGACCGCCAGCAAGGAGGTAGGAAGCTGATGGATCGAAAGACATAGCGGGTGGTGGTCTCTGGGCAACCTGAAACTTGTTAGTCGCATCTTCGAAGTTGATACATGGATGGTAACTTACAAGAACTTGATCGTCAGCCTGCGGCACCATTACCACCTGCTTATCGTGACTCGCATCTTGCAACGTCTTGACAGCCTCATTCAGTTTGGACCAAGGCAACACACCCGCAGCGCTACGGTCGAGCATCTTCATCTCGGTGGCAGCGCTCATAGCCTCATGGAATGCTCGACTAGCAAGCTTGGGCTTCTGCGTATACAGCAACGCCATATCGACCGACGAGAAGGATGCGTTGCGGCCGAACGGTGCCATTTCCAGTCGGCCAGTCCCTGGTGCATTGAGATTTACGAATCTGCCAAAAGGCGCGATGCAGCTGAACGTCGCTTGTAATGCCTCGCCAGTCAGGGTGTTCAGAATGACATCAAGACCGCGGCCCTTGGTCGCGCGCCGAAGTGCAGTGACAAACTTAAGATCAATACTGGAAAAGATACATTCTTTCTCGATGCCGAAGAGCTCTGTGAGGTAGCTCTTCTCTTCGTCGGATCGCACGGTAGCAAAGACTTTTGCACCCGCCTTCGAGGCCGTCTCGATGCTAGCCTGGCCAACAGCGTCCGCGGCCTCGTGGATGAGAACAGTTTCTCCGGAATGTAGATGCGCGACGTGGTTGAGCGCATAGTGAGCAGTCGCATGCGCCTGGGGCAATGTAGCTGCGACTTCAAAAGCCATGCCATCGGGAATCGTGTGCGTAAAGGCTGCTGGCACGCGCACTTGGGTGGCGAACGTGCTTGGATACCATGCTACCACTCGATCGCCAACCGAAAGGTCCAGCACTCCATGGCCAAGCTTTGTGATGACACCCGCACACTCTTGGCCAAGCTTGCCATTGGAGTGTTCAGCATCCAATATCTCGACGTCGCTGGAGCTGAGACTCGTAGCGCGAACCTCGATTTCGACTTCGTCAGCTTTAATGGGTCGCGCAAAGCGCACATCCTCTTCGAAGACGGCCACGTCTGATGCGCCTTTGCTGACGTTGTTGAGTTTAAGTGGACGACCATTCTGAAGCACGTTCTCCATCTGCGGCCGCAAAGCCGTCGCATCAGTCCGACCAACCAGGAACTCATTCGACTTCTCATCTTCAATCGCACGCTTGATGTGAAGAATGCCGTCCTGCTCGACGAACTCGCTGTCGACCAGGGTAGCGCTCTTCTCAGTACCGAGCTGCTTCTCATATATGCTGAGAAGCAAATCCGCGACATTAGAAGCAGGTAGGTTTCTTCTCGCGTCCAGGTCCACTGTAACGCAATTGAAGCTCTCATTCTCAGCTCGTAACGTACGCGCAAGGCCTTGGAATACGGCCAGTTCAGGACGTTCAACATCCGAAGATGCCGCGCCTCTTGTGACCCAGATCAGACCTGCCGATGCATCGGCGATGTGTTGGAGGGTTTTCATGTCTTCTGAAGTGGGATCAGCCAAGAGAGGCTCTTCAAGCTCGACAAAGCTGACGCAGATGGTATGAGCGAGATCGTGTTGGCCAAGCTTGGAAAGTGTCGCGAGTTGTGCTTGAAAGCCAGCTTTCTCCAGTCTGCTCTTGAGAGCCAACGGCATGTCCAATCTGCTCATCCGGATGCGTGAGTCGGCACACAAGATAACGAAGCGCGGTCTTTCTGGTGGAGTAATCACACCGTTCGATAGGGTCGGCTTTGCTTCAACCGCAGTCGCAATCATCAGCCTTGTACCCTCCTCGAGCGGGTCCAAAACGTCTGGGCTACTTGCTTGAAGAGTACTAAAACCCGTAGATCGCAACACATTCTCCCATTGGCTCTCAGTGAGCAGAGGCCCACCAGTCCGCCATTCTTCGGACGCATTCCACCATCCAGGTAAGGTGCCGAAGATGACTGAAGCAGCGAGTAGACGATTGGTCATCTCAAGAAGTATGAGTCTTCCTCCTGGTCGGAGAAGCTTCCGCGCATGCGTCATGGTACGGTGCATGTCTGATGTGGCGTGGAGCACGTTCGCAGCAACAATGACGTCGTAAGAAGCTGGCTTGAAGTCTTGCGTCTCCGGATCATGCTCAACATCCAGCTTCTTGAAGTTCATGAATTGTGCAAAGTCTTCAAACTTCTCCGCGGCGCGCTGGAAGAAGTAGGATGAGATGTCTGTGTAGGTGTACGACTTCAAGCGAGGGTATGTGTGAAGGTCTTCGCAGCCACTCAAGCCTTTCAATGTCGGAACTGTCGCGCCGCCGGTTCCAGCGCCAATCTCGAGGTAGTCCAGATTGGGGTACTTGTGCGAAAGCATTGTAGTGTAGCGTGAGATCTGGGCATATGTGTTTGGCATGCCGACGGCAGTTGTGTAGTAGTCCTCGAGTAGGTTCTCGTGCGTCATCAAAGCGAGTGGCTCAACTTCCTGTCGGAAGACGGCTGGCAGGGCCTCACCGACTCGGACAAGAAGCTTGCCATCGTACGCCGTCTCATGATTGCGGTAGTGTTCTACCATGGCCTCAAGCTTCGATGCAACTTCCGGACTGTGTAGCTGCTGCCACTCATCTGTCTGTTGGGGATGCGTCTTCGCTAGCACCGCGTCACGCAGCTCGCATAGGTTGCGATAGAACTTTTGATGATGTGGCAACATTGTGGACTCCTCGTTTGCGCTGACTTCTTGCAGTGCCTTGTCGATGAAGTAGTAAGAAAGCAGCTCGAGCTCTCTGACAGTCTTCGGACGGTTATCTGGTTTCGGTGCTGCTTGCAGTTCGCGGTTGAGATGCTCACGATCGATAAGTTCAACATCTGGCTCCCACACCGCCTTGTAGCAGTGCCTGGGCGGTGATACTTGCTCCTCAGATGCGGTGTTCGTATTGATGGCGACGAACTTGAAGCCGTCCATGAGAACAACTGGCTTCAAAGTCATCGGGTCCAACGCGAATATGTCGCCAGTAGCTTGTCGAGCGCCGCAACGTTGAGCATTTGCTACGACGTTGAGACGGTCACCAATTTGAGCTGCTGTATCTGCGGATATGGAAATTTCTTCGATATACGTAGGTACCATGGCGCCCTTAAGTTGCTTGAGCTCAGGACCACCCAGCGCAGCCAGACCTAGCTGCAAGAAAGTGTCCAAAGTAGCAGGATGTAGCAGTCGGTCATACTCATATCCTTTCGGATTGACAGACTTGGTGTCAGTGACCTCAACCACTGCGGCAGCTTTGCCAGGCAACCGACGGTCGACGCTAATCTCCTTGAGACCCTGGAACATCGGTCCGTACGTAAGGCCAATGGCGTCGACACTGCGGTAAAATGATTGAACGTCCATCTGGTCTGCGCCAGCTGAGGACGAGGCGTTCCAATCATTGGCGCAGTCCTGAGCGAGCTGTTCGTCCGATGTAGTTTGGCCTGATACCGAGACTAAGCCACGGCAGTTCTCAACCCAACCTCCATCTGCAGTGTAGGAGAAGATGCGAAAGTCGTGCC